CTCCCCGGCGTCCCGCTTTCTACTGTCAGCGACAGCCTGTGGGTCCGGCCTAGGCCTCCGGCCGCCAAGCATCGTATGCTGGTGTCCGACTCCCACCCAGTGCTTTCACAGCCCGACCGACCCAGACGACCCAGTGCTGTCGCATCCATGCTCCCCAGACCGGCTCCCAGCACGGTCACGCTTGAGGCCCCTGACCCTGGTCGGTTTATGTTAAGGATGCTCACGCTCGCCTGATCATACGAGAGTGCCTCCGTCACCGTACCCGGCCTCTCCCCGACGGACACTACCCCTCGTGAGGACCCGCCTCTCCGGCCCCGCTCCGCTCGACATCGCACAGCTGTGTCCGACTCCCACTCGCTGCTCTCGCTCCCTGATCCTCCCGTCCGACCCCAGCCCGTGTATCCGGCGACACCCAGGCCCGACCCATGCACTGTCAAGCTAGCTGAGCCTGTCGGCACCATGTTGGTACGGATCCCCTCGCTCAACACGACTCTATCTACGCTCAAGGCTGCCGTGGCCGAGCCTGCTTGCAGGCTGGCAGTGATCAGGAGCGTCCTAGACCCTCCCACGCTCTCCACAGCCATACTCCGTAAGCTCGTGTCCGACAGCCATGCTGTGACCTCGCTAGCCGTGGGCGCCGCTCTTGCTATCGGAGAGTAGCCCGCCAGCCCTGCGCCGGCTCCTACCAATGTGACCGACAGGGATCCGGTCGACGGCACGTTTGACCGCAGGACAGAGCTCACTCTGGTCCTGTCTGCGCTGTACGCGTCTGTGACGCTGCTGACTCTTTCGTCTACGGTTACCGATACCCGCTGGCTGCCGCCGGGTCCCGAGGACTCGAGGCAGCTCAATGCCGTATCAGACAGCCAAGTCGAGGCCTCACAGGCGCTCAAGCCCGACCGACCTTGCAGCGAGTAGGCCGTGAAGCCGTAGCCTGCCCCGCCTACAGAGATACTCGCCGAGCCGCTTGCAGCTGCGTTCGATCGATACATGCCGCTTCCCGATCCCGCATCATACGATCCGGCCCTTGTGCG